GAAGTATGTTATGAATATTCTATAACTATAAGTATGTACAGGCTGTAGTGAGTACAAGCTATGTACAGGCTATGAACAGGATATAAATATGAAATAAAAAACTACAGAAATCTGAGATATACAGTTATACAGAAATGTGAACTATTCAAGTTATAAACAGTTGTAGGATTAAAAATTATTGTATGTACACAATGATTATTTACACAGAACTATACAGTAGTGCAGTTAAGATAAGTGAGATATGTGGATAATTTCTACAGAGGCTATATCAAGTGCTAGTGGTTGTGAGTGGTGGTTCAGTCCATGTTATTATATATGTCCATGTTTAAATAAAATGGAATAAACTGAATTGAATTGGAACTGGGACAAGTGATCCATGTGGCTTGCCTTGCAGCACCTTCCTCTGGTCGGAGAGGGATGTACAGCGTGTCGGTAAAGTGCCAAAGGGGTACACATTGTGCTATGGTGGATTCGGGCTGGTTCAAATATTGGACATTTGGACAACATTCAGTTCTCAAAAGCCCAGCAGCACTTGTTCAATTCCCAGATGTTTACATATTGCAAAGAAGAGGGGATGATACACAGTGGTATTCATTCACGTACCCAGATATGTTTGAGACAAGTTGGTGCCATCAAATTCAAAATGACCAAAAGTCCCACTTTAAACAGTACATATTGTTAGTTTAAAAATTCGATTTTTTGTTTTTTGTTTTTTTCATTTTCTGTGTTCTTCTGCTGTTAATAAAATATGAGTTGGAAATCACTGCACTCCATTTGCGTTTGTTTTTAAAAAAAAAACAAACACATTACACAAACTCCCAGTGTTTTGGGGACTGGGCTTGAACATGTAGACAAGTATGTAACTGCAGACTTCTGCACCCCAAACCCATCTGGCCTGCTTGGATTGCCGAAATGTACTGCAGTGCAGCCAGTGTTCCCTTTGTGTACCCAAGAGAAAATGGCAAATAGAAATGCCAGGTGTGTTTTGCAGAATGAAGATAAAATGACATCAGTTTAATAAGCTCCCACAATTTCCAAAGCCCTACCAGGAGGCAAAATGATGAAAAGCTGTGGGGTGGTTGACTCACTTGTGTGGAGCTGGAAACTTTTATTTAACCCAAGTTAATTAGATATGTTCATCTCTTTCATCAAGGCCACCTTTCTCTACTAAGGTTCCATAACTCGATCTGGCATAATGGCAATGAACAGGCATTTTGGCTCCGGTGTCAATCACTGACACTGCTCTGTTTTAACTTGCTTCTTTTGTTGCACATTTTTATTCATCGGCCATCATTCTTGTAAAGAAGCAGAGAAAGGTTTTTCAGATTAATTGGATCAACGATTAAGTGGGAGGCATCCCACCCTGCTGAGCAGAGACAATAGCAGAAGAAAGGGTAAATGCAGGCGCCAGCTGAAAATTGACACTTGAATTAGATAATGAAGAATAGAGGGTAGAAGAAAAGAAAAGAGGCCCATCGGTGTGAGGTCTTCAAGGAGGTGCAGACTTTAACTTGTCTGGTATGTTTTTAATATATATATATATATATATATATACACAAATAATTTATAATAAATAATTTAGTCAGTTTTTTTTCCTGGACACACAGCATTATGACCTTGAATCAACAGAACTTACATTGGATAGATTCAGCAAAACATATTAAAATGAGAGATTACCATTGCAGTGTAATCCCTCGTCTGTCTGTAATTTCATCATAGTGTTCAAACTCCACAGATCTCCATTTGAGTTATCTCAATTTACCTGCAATCCACACGCTTTAAAGGATTCACAGCCAAAATCCTAGTCCCAGCTAATAATTATACAGAACCACCCCCACCCCCACCCCTGCTTACAAGCCGTAACCCTGCATGGTTGACCACACCTGCTTGATTTTGCTTGGCTCCAGTTTCCTTCTACAGTCCAAGGTCATGTTTATTAGGTTAACTTAATTCTAAATTGGCCATAGGTATGGAATCCACTTAAAGCACCATAATTTATCCAGGACCTTATTTTATGCAGTCAAGGCACATATAACATTTAACTGCATAAAATAAGGTCACATTGTCCCAAATGATATGGGATGCTCTGCCTGCTCGCGATGTCTGTGCTCAAGCAAAGCATCCTGTAGACCATCCAGGAATGTTGCTAGAAGTTCGGTGTTGTATGGCCCAACAGTAACATGACAGCGGAGAACCCCATAGCTGCTGATGGCAGCACAGTTACATTTCCACCACGCTGGCCAGGCAGTTCAATAATGGCATGTTGAGCTATGACATTGTAACCTTTCCTTCTCCTTTTTCGGAGATTCAAAATAAATTTTGTCATCTATATTCCCTTGCTGCAGTTCATGCAGTCAAATTGCATTATTCTGATGGACCATATCCACAATAAGTGTCTCCTGGTGATGTGAGCACATGTGTGTTCTTCCACCCTCATGTGGCCGTCTTTCAATTCTAAACAAAATACCATTTAGTTATAAGTATACTTGTATATACAGCACATGTATATATTATACTATTTCATTTACAGAACTAAAATTAGAATCTTTGAGCTTGACTCAATGGTTAGGCCTCATGAATATATCTTTGTGGATGAAGCTGGATTCAATCTAGCAAAACGCAGAAGAAGAGGTTGCAACATGTGTTTTCAATTTTGAGTGGTAGTGTGTTACAGTTGTTTCTGATGGCTTAAGCAATTTCTTTGTAACTATTGCCTATTTTTGCAAAACTCTACACACAAATAATAAAACCCTTCACCAAATCAGCAAAACATTGTAGTTTTCTTGCAAAAGCTAATAACTCTTGCTTAACTCTCCAAACCTTTGTAAAAATGGTATTTTCATATCAAACAGTTAACACAAGCCATCACATTAATAAGCACACAATGCACCAACTACACACTGATAGTATGAATAAAAAAACACATCTAGCTTTTGCTTTCTCTGTGCACAAGGTAGGCTATGTCAGTTTGAGGTCATACTTTTGTCATAGGTCCGTAAACATAGAGGGATCCAAACTTCAAGTACTGGTGTTTATTCACACACATCAAAACAAACACAAGTGCTTATTTCCAAGTCAAAACAAACTAGTATTTTCCCTGAGGAAAAAAGAGCAATCAGTCTACATCGCGTCATCTCTCCGGCCACAAAATTTCGTCTACATCACATGCAAAGTCCTCTAGTCCAAGGCACCGGGGAAAATATCTTCTGGAATGGCGCATCCAGGCCTGACATGATGGCTGGTCAATATCCCCATATGCCTCCTCCATTGCCTGTAAAAGGGCTATGCGTTGATGGGGATGACAGTCATAGACCTTCCAGCGCCAGGCAGAGAAGAACTCTTCAATTGGATTCAAGAATGGAGAGTATGGGGGGAGGTTGAGTACAGTGAAGAGTAGGTGATCTGTAAACCAATTGCGGACCCAAGCAGCCCTATGGAAACTAACATTGTCCCATATGATGACGTATCTGGTCTGCTCTGGTCTCTGAACATTAGTGAGCATGTCATGTAAGGCGTCCAGGAATGTAATAATGTGTGCAGTGTTATATGGGCCCAGGGTTGCATGATGGCGAACAACACCATTTTGACTTATAGCTGCACACATAGTTATGTTACCATCACGTTGTCCTGGGACATTGATTATGGCACGGTGTCCAATGATGTTCCTGCCACGTCTCCTTTTCTTAGTGAGGTGAAAACCAGCCTCATCCACAACAAACTGCTCATGACCCATGGCATCTGCCTCTAGCTCCATCACTCTCTAGACAAGACAAAACAAATTCAGCACAGCAGGCACATGCACAGCACTACAGTATGCACTTCCAGATTCAGTACCAATGCTACTATAGTTTACCTGCACATAGTCATATCGCAGCTGTTGTACACGTTCACTGTTTCTTTCGAAAGGTACTCTGTAGATTTGTTTCATTCGGATTCTGTTGTGGGCAAGTACACGACCTAATACAGAAATGCTCACATTTTGTGTTTTGGAAGGTGGTGCCATCCACAATTATGCGCTGATGAATTTCGTGTAGCCTTATGGAATTATTTGCAATCACTATATTGACTATATGGGTTCCTTGGTCTGCAGTGAGCATTCTTCCTCTGCCCCCAGCATCTGGTAACAATTTCAGTATTTTTACATCTATGGTATTGTTGTGTTTTTCAGTAGCATATGGCAGTGCTACAAATCTTAGTGCAAAGTGACTGTACTAACCGACTCTGATTTCGAAATGTCCTTATGATGCTTGCTACAGTGTAGCGGCTCAAGTTAGGCTGAACCCGTTGGCCAGCTTCCCTCAGGGTCATTCCATGGTTGATTACATGATCCACTATTGTAGCTCTGATGTCATCAGTAATTCTATTTCTTACTCTTCTTACCCTTCCTCCTCCCTCTCCTCGTTCTCCTCTTGCTCCTCCTTGTCCTCTTCCTCTAACGTCACCTCCTTGTCCGTGTTGTCCTCTTCGTCCTACTTCTTCACCTCCACGTCCTCTTCCTCGGCCTCCTCTAATTCTCACTCTTCCTGCTCCCTCCATTGTACTCCACACGGACAGCTTACCTGTAGCTTATTTATAGTGCTTAGGCTGATTGCAAATTGAACTAATTATCTAAAACAGTTTTCACATGTGACAGTGTGCCAGACAGTTGGCAAAATAGTGTAAATAATAGCCATAAATGTGTATAGTCTTGCTAGGAGTGTGTTGATCATTTGGAAATTAAGTGTAAAGCAGTGAGTTGTGTTTACAGTTCCGCAAAAAGAGTGCTGTGCAGTGGATTGTACCTACAGTTTGGTACAGTGAGGGAAAGATAGCGCCGGTGTACGTGGCTTGCCGTCCTCGGCTGTATCTGTTTTGCTGCTTTTTACCCCCTCTACGCTCTTTTATGGACCTTGGCATTGTATCTTTTTATCCTTTTAGTTGCATGCTCATCTAATGGCTGTGCACTGATTACATACGATAGGCAAACACTTTTAAATCTAAGACTCTCCCATTCCTCTCAGGCTGATCCTTGCTGGAACCTGGGTGACGCCACTCCGCCCCAACTGGACCCTCCGACCGGCTTCTTCCACCTACCCTATTCCTAATCTACACAAGAAACGCTACAGGAAACGCGGTAGAAGGAGTGGCCGTTGCATTCGTCTAGGGTCTACTTTAAAGCCAGAGCCACAGGCTACCCACATGCCAGCCTGGATATTTTATCTTTTTTCCCTCCTTCCCAGGAGTGCTCTGATGCTAAGTTGCTCACCCACCGTTGGATCTGCTCGGCTGACCACGAAGTCTACCCTGCCCTTCCTGTGGCATGTTTTCCTGCTCGGGTTTGGATAACATCGCTCCGACGCGGCGTTTGCCGAAGCAACCTAAGTGTCCTACGACGCACCACCCGTGGCGATTTAGCCCCTAGGATACGGATGGCATTGCTTAATGTCAGGTCGCTGGTCAATAAGACTTTTCTCTTAAATGACTTCCTCTCCAATAATGGGCTTGATGCTTTATTCCTGACTGAAACCTGGATTTGTCCTGGGCAGGTTATCCCTTTTACCAAACTTCTTCCATTGGACTGTGTCGCTTTTAGCTCACCAAGGCTTACTGGTATGCAGTGTTGGGAAGGTTACTTTTAAAATGTATTCCATTACAGAATACAGAATACATGCCCCAAAATGTATTCTGTAACGTATTCCGTTACGTTACTCAA